CTCAGTAGTTCTTTTGTCCATCCTAGGCATTCAAGAAGGAAGGAGATACAGCAGCTGCTGCTCTTTTATAACGGATTTGTATGGACTCCAGTGCTATGCACACGCGCGCATGTGTGTAGTGTATTCAGGAGTTTCCCAATTGATGACTACTGACAGCCAATATCTTGAAAGAATTAATTCACAGGTAGCCAAACTACAGCCTAAGGGCCACAGCCAGCCACAGCCATTTTGCAAATAAGTTTATTGGAATGAAGCTATGCTCTTGTATACAAATGCAGAGTTGAGTAATTTTAATAGGGACTGGCTCCCAAAACTGAAATTATGTACTCTCTTTCCTCTTGTAGAAATAGCTTGCTGGCCCTGAATTAAGTCGTAAGCCACAGAAAGCCAGAGAATAGCTTATTCTGGGCAAGCACTATTAAATTGGGTTCACAGATACCACTATCTGGCTCTATCATTCCAAGAACAATTTGTAGATTTATTGTATGTGTAATAGAGTGGAAATGCAATATGTATTTATTGTATTCATTTTACTGGTTAGAGGTCCCCTGACTTTCATCAGAGTCTCAAGAAGTTCTTGTGACCCAGAATGTGTTAAGAACTAATGTTCTAGATAATATTATTTATTTATTCCTTTGAAGGCTTGTGGAATGGAACAGAAGAAAAATCAGGTCAAAAAACTGACCAGAGGTTTTTTGAGAGGATGAAAAATTGATAAATATTGTTGACTCAAGGAATTTTTTTTGTATATGAATGCATTTTATATGACTCTTCATTTATTCTAAGTCATTTATTTTTACTGACTGTATGCCACATATTATTATAACTGCTTATTTTGTCTTTCTTTGCCTGGTTTATTTTCACTTAATATGATATCCTCCAGGTTCATCCATGTTGTAGCAAATGACAGGATTTCATTATTTTTTGTGGCTGAATAATATTCCTTTGTATATGTACCACATTTTCTTTATCCATTCATCCACTGATAGAGGCTTAGGTTGATTCTTTATCTTGGCTATTGCAAACAGTGCTATAATAAACATGGGAATGCAGGTATCTCTTCTAAATATTGATTTCATTTCCCTTTGTTTATATACTCAATAGTGGAATTGCTGGATCTAATGCCATTTTAAATGAGAAAAATTTTAATTTCTTTCTGCACTTGGAACCTTAATGCTTAAGGTTCAATCCCAGTAGGTGGGTCATACACCTCTTCCCTCTGCAGTCAGATCATTTCCATATGGTAGGGTATGGGCTCCTGTTCTCGAGGAACTCGTTGATTTTCATAAGTCTGGGCAGCTTTCCTCCTTCCTATGGTCTTCCTCAAAGGCATCCTTTTCTTTCCCTCCTTATCTTAGATACCTACTTTTTGACTTAGCAACAAGCTCAGACTTTTGGAAAAGATAGAAAAAGGTGTTATCTTCAAGTTGCTAAATTTAAATTTCTATATACATTCTCCTGTGGCAGTCTTATTGCACTGAGAAGCCATTTAGTTCTTTAAGGAGAGGAGTGATGGATCAAAGTATTATTTTAAGAAATGGGACATTGTACGTATTTGCTGCAACTTAGAATCAAGACTTGACCATCTCACGACAAAACAGATGTAGACTACCTGAGGAGGGCAGGGACTCCCAGAGATCTTGCTACTTGTGGAAGGACTAAATGTTCTGATTTGCAAATTAAAACAGGTAAACAAATTAGGTAGTACATATCCAACCTTTGACCTGTTGGGATTTTATTAGGCACCAGGGATTGTAAAAGCAAAGGAATAACCTAGTAGAGAAAGCATATTTTTGTACTGATTCCGATCAACAGTCTCTTCTTAATCTTCAGATCAGCCAAACTTTATATTATGGTGAATGCTGAATTATTATGAAATAAAGTTTACTTAGGTTATGTGAGAATAATTGCAAATATACAAATAGTCAAATTCACCTTCAATGGTAAAAGTGCAAATAAAAAATGGGCTTTCTTCCCACCCCTGCCTTATACCTTTGGTGACTTTTGCACATGAGAAAAGTACATGAAAATAGTAAATTTAGCTTTTGTACTATAAAATCATTAATTTATTACATCATTCTTTGAAGAAGAGTAACTAGTATATTTCTCTGTGATACTAGTGTTCACAGCCACGCGTTTTTTCAGTCTTTCTTAGGGAAGGAGCACTGCTTTCTGGATGTACAGACCATTTATGTAATGCTCAGGCCACTCTGGATCAAATTGCTTCTGGTCTTTTCATGTCACTGCTCTTGCAGAACGAAAGGTCCTGGTGATGACATTTGTGCTTCTTGAAGCGGGAACAGCCCTTCTGGGTGACCTTTTATGAAATGGCGTGAGTGGCCGCAGCCTGATGCTGGCCGTCCTTCCGGCAGTGACGTGTGCGTGCTGGGGTGGTCGTCTCGCAGCGTCTCAAAGAGCCAGTCATTCATCCAGGTTTTCAGCAACGTTACGATGATCACTCTTTTTTCTCCCACTGAATTTATAAAATGTGCCTTGGCATTTTCCATTACCCGAGTGGTGCAAAAAGACAAGCTTTGTGTAGTGCTGACTCAGGCCCACCCCTGGCAATGACAGAGGCCTTAAAGGAAGATACACACACGTTGAATCATTTTACGAATCATCTTCTCCCCCGTTCTTGCTCAGGCTGGTTTCAAACTCCTGACCTCGAGCAATCTGCCCGCCTCGGCCTCCTAAAGTGCTAGGATTACAGGCGTGAGCCACCGCGCCTGGCCATGTTAACCTGATCTATGAGGACCAAAGTCCCAGGAAGATCAAGAAAAAGGAGATAATTCTCGTTTACCTTGGCTCCAGCAAGGTTAGGTGATTCAGTTGTACGAGGCAATAAATTTAGAAAATATGGTCCAGACAGCATAACTATTAGGTGAGAACACAAATTGCTAGAAGGCCAAAAAATACAAGGTGTTTTTTAAAGTCAGTTAGGAACCTAGATTTTTTTTAAGTTTTTATCACCAGCCCACATAAAGAAATAAAGAAGTCAACCCAGACAATGTCTTAGAAAAAATACACCTTAGAAAAGTGATTCAAGAAAAAATGGCAAATCTGAATAAACCAATAATCATTAAGGAAATTTAGTAGCTTAGAATATAACTCCTATTCTTTTGCCACTATATATACTAGATGGTTTTACAAGCCAGTGAACCAAGCATCTAAGAAAGATAATCCTTATTTTATTAAAAAAAAAAGTTCCAAAAAATAAAAAAAAATATTTTTCAGATCACTTAATGGTAAATAACCTTGATCTTGACCCCCAGAATAGATGAGGTTAATGTCAGAAAGTCCAGTCACACGTATAAACAAAGATGATAAAATTAAAAATAAAAAAAAGTAACTAGAAAAAAACGTATCTTGAGCAATTAAAGTTTTGCCCAGGAATACACTAAGGACAATTGGACTTTAGAAAATACATTAATAGAATTAGCCTCATTCAAATACTAAAAGAGAAAAACCAGATGATCATTTCAATGGATACAGCAAAAGTATTTGCTAAAATTGGCAATATATGTATGATAAAGTAGGAACTGAAAGCAACTACCTTGTTCATGTATACCATGTTCAGGAATAAGAAGATTAAACACTGTTGAGAGGTCAATTCTTCCCCAACTAACCTCTAAATTCAGTGCAGCTCCAGTGGAAATCCCCAAAGGCTTTTTCATAGAACATGACAAGCAGCTCTTAGTTTTAGATGGAAGAGCAAAAGGGCTAGACTAGCCAAGACTGTCCTGAGAAAGAACCAGGCAGGGCTTCTCTCGACAGACAGGAATCACAGAGCTTTAGGTAATTAAGAGAATAATTTACCTTAATTATTCTGTTCGGATCAGTTACAAGTTCTGCAATGCACCCACGATCGACAGCCAAGGAAAAGGCGGGAGTTGGGCGAGGTCTGGAAGGGACCCTTAGAAACATTGAAAGGCTTAGGAAATAAGACTCAAAAAGTAAAATGATAATCTGAACACTCCTATACAAACAATAAGAAAGAAAACAGGTTAAAAGTAGTACTTTTGAAGCGCATCTCAATTTAAAGCAAGGAAAGTTAGTTCACAGTTGTCCCTTCGACATGAAGCACCTGAGATGAATTTTTAAATGGAGCATTAGGAACTTGTCTAAAATAGAATTTCCTTGACGTAAACCGTGGAGAAGATGCTAAGGACTTACTGAGAGAGAAGCTAAAATCTCTTGCTCTGGATGTCTTTACAGATCAGATTGACTTTCATCTGCCAGAAAATTTGGAAGTTTGACTTTAAAAACATGTTGAAATTCATGGCTTGGCTACACAGCATGCTGTTGGGAGTCATGAGTCCCGTGCCGTCGTCCTGGCGTGTCCCCTCCGATGCGAATCATCCCTTGTCCAGGGTGTCGTGCTGTGCACACCGCTGCCACTCAGCCCGCGGCCGGGCCGTCGCAGGCTGGAGGAAACATGGTGTGCAGGGGCTGTCCGCAGAGCACCGCGGTGTCGCGTCCTGGCTGCACTGACGGCGGCGGGCGCTTTCCCCACAGCGACACGGGGCTCAGCACCACCTGTAGTTTCAGGCATCCACGGTGGGGTTGGAACACACCTCCGCAGGTAAGGGAGCACGGCCGGTCCAGGAAATGACCGCCTCCTTCTCTGTGATGGCTCTGGAGCGTGCCCTGCACCACGCCAGGCCGTTCGGGAACTGTCTCTAAACCGGAATATGGGATGATGGTCTTTTATTTCTGTTATTTTCCTTCTCCCTTCTTCAACATTGCTGGCCGGTTCGGTGGCTCACGCCTGTAATCCTAGCACTCTGGGAGGCCAAGGTGGGAGGATCGCTCAAGGTCAGGAGTTCAAGACTAGCCTGAGCAAGAGTGAGACCCCATCTCTACTAAAAACAGAAAATTAGCTGGACCACTAAAAATATATATAGAAAAGATTAGCCGGGCATGGTGGTGCATGGCTGTAGCCCCAGCCACTCGGGAGGCTGAGGCAAGAGGAGTTTGAGGTTGCTGTGAGCAAGGCTGACACCACGGCACTATAGCTGGGCAACAGAGGGAGACGCTGTCTCAAAAAAAAAGAAAAACAAAAAACTCAACATTGCTGGAGGTCCACGATTGTGTGAAACTATACACCCCCAGCCTGTTAATCTCCAGAGGAGCTGTGGCTGGCTAAGCAGATGGGAGCACTGTGGGTGCGACATGCGAGCCAAGTCGCTGGCAGCTCGCTCGCGGGGCGCCAGGCCTGTTGTTCCTTTGCCAGGAGACCAGCCTCCTTCCTGACACAAAGATAATGCCACAACCATTGGGTAGATGCGTAGTACAAGTGAAAAATACATCTTTCTTGTGCAAAGGCACTGAGATTTTGTTATCTTAGTTTTTCCCAGCCCATCCTGATAGGATTGCTAAAGACTGAGTTTGAATATTAGCTCTGTGAATCACTGGCTTAGCTTAAACCCAGGTCTACGTTTACTATGTAACCTTAGCTTTCCTTTCTGTAAAGTGGGTTACTAATGATATCCAGCTTATAGGGTCACTATGAGGATCGAATGACTTAAAAGATTAAATAAGTTATTATTTGTAGAAGAGTTAGAATAGTGCCTAGCAAATATTAAGTACCGTATTGTTCGTTAAATAAATCTTTGTGCGTGTGCGTCTAAAGCTAAATCTAGGAAGGTATAAAACAAAGTTTTAACACAGTGAATTAAAAAATTTTTCTTTTTGTTTAGCCACATCTTTTAGCTGCTGTACAACAAACACATATTTCCTGTGTAACTTAAAAATTCAAAAACTCCAAACTACTTTTGCATTGATAGCCTGTTTTTTAAAAATTTTTTAATTTTTAAAATGTATCATTTTCTTTGTTATTTCATTATATCACTTTACAGAAACATATTTCTAACTTCATTACTAAAGTCAATAGAAAAATAGGTTTCAGTACGTGGAATTTCTACTTACAGCAATTTTCTTGAACCATGGAATGGGCAACACTTGTAGCCAAAATCTTCAGAATGAAACTAAATATTTAATTACTATTATTCACTGTATTGTTAAGCATGTGTGTCCTGAAAATGTTTTGATTTCTAATGTGACTGAAATTTGTCTCCCTAAATAAGATAAAATAGTTTAGCCATTAATAATTATACATGTTTCTCTGAGTCAGACTCAAAAGTCAATGAGAGTGAGCTGTGATTTCTAACATTATTACAACCTTAGGGAGACAGGTCAGTGAGCCGCAGCCTTGCTTTTGATGGACAAGGGTAGGGGTAAGACCAGGTCACTTGCTTGGATTATTGTCATTGCAATAAATCTTCCTGCTGCCTACATCCAACCCCCTTTATTTGTCCTGGCTGGGAAGGAGCCTTGGCAGGGATTTATATAGAAAAGTCACGATCCGAGAGCAATCGCAGCCCATCGCTCTTAGTGGCCTTGGCCACCACAGGTGGAGAGTGCCACGCCGAGAACAGGCTGGGAAAGAGTGGGTCCTTTTCTTTTCCTGTCCTCTGGGTTCCTCGTAGAGGCTTTTTGGAGGGGGGAGAAGGAGGTTCCTTGAGAGTCAGCTGGGGAGGCCTGAGAAGGCTGTTCTGGGTGGTGGACATTTTATAACAGGCTCGCAACTTTGAAGAGGTTAGGAAGGGCTTCCCTCAGCAGCTCAAGTCTCAGAGGAGAAGGATGAATGACATGAAGCTGGTGGGAGGGGATGAGGAGACCATTCCACACAGGGTGGGCAGCGTGTAAGAAGCTCAGGGTGATACCATCAAACCATCAAATGGTAACTGAAACAAACCTTTCACACAGAAAATTATAAAATACTGTAGAGAGTAATTAACAGAGGCCTAAATACGCAGAAAGGTATTATATTCATAGATTATAAGATTCAATATTGTTAAGTTGTTCATTTCCCCAAATGGATCTAAAGAGACCAGGCGATACCAAAAATCTCAGCAGGGTTATTTGGTAAAATTTTTAAGAGATATTGAGATTTAAATGGGAATAGAACAGATTCAGAATAGCCAAAACAATCTAGAGAATGAAAAATGAAATTGGAAGACAAACTACCTGATTTCCAGACTTCCTACAAAGCTGTGGCCGTTGAGACAAACGGCAAATGGAAGGGACTAGAGAACTCGGAAACAGACGCTGACATGTTATCAATTGATCTTCCACAGAGGTGGCCAGTCAGCTCACTGGTGGGAGGAAAAGATGTTCAAACCATGGTGCTGGAACAACTGTGTCCTTCAAAATCCACCTGCCTCTGTATGTGAATAATGAGTTGGGATAGACCATAGACCTAAATGCAGTAAGCTGGGACCATCAAGTTTCTACAAGAAAAGAGGAGAAATTTTCATAACCTAAGGGTGGGTAAAGATTTATTAGAGAGGATACAGAAAATATTAACCATAAAATAAAAAGGATAAATTAAGCTTCATCAAAATTAAAACATTTATTATGAAAATGAGCAGGTAAGTCACAGACTGGGAAAAATATTCTCAATATATATATCTAACAATATCTGATGGAAATATCTTATTTTAGTGATGTAAACACATGGGTGTTTACAGTTGTCAAAACTTCTCAAATGAACATTTAAAAATCTGTTATTTTATAGCATGTGAATTAAACCTCAATTGAAAAACAGAAAGTACAGGATATAAGAACATGTTATTATCTATGGGCATGAATGACTGAAGTACTCAGGACTGATGGTTAATTCTTTTCTTAAATTCCAGAAAGCAGACTCTAAAACCTCTCTGCCTCCAGCCACAGTGGCCTGTAAATTAGTCCTTCTGTATTTTAATCCATAGTGATGACCAATTAGAGTCCTTTCTTCTCATGACATGTGTAATACAGGGGCTGGAAATATCAAACTCAATGAAAAAAATCTTCAATGAAATAACCTAGGACACGTAAGAGGTAAATAATTAGCAGCATGTGAGAAAGAATGTGCCATCTGTCTTTAAAAATGTTGGCTGGCAGAAGAAGGAGAATTTAGGCAGAGAGAACTATTTAAATAAGCTTCCAAATACTCCCCACACTCCCAATTTATACTTTGTACGTTTTATGCCCCCAAAACAAATAAAAAATAATTGACATATGAATAACAAATCCTGTGACTATACATTATCATATAACATAAAAATTTTAACTAATTCTTTAATCTTTTTCTTCTAGAAGATTCACTTCCATAGGCAAACGGCAAAGCATTGTGTCTCTTATAACTCATCTTTGAATCCTCAGGAGAGTCTAGGCTGGTGTCTTGAGAATAATGGATCCTCAATACTTACTTACAATCTTGAATTTACTAATCAATGTATTTACTGTTTAGTTAGAATTTATGTCCAAATTCCATAACAGGGAATTGACTGCAATTATTTTATAATCTCTTCACATAAAATGTTTGAACCAGTGATGATCTCATATGGTAATTCATGGGAAATGTATTTAAAAGGAGTATACTAAATGCTATCCAAGGTCAACTAACTCCAGCCTTAAAATGCTGTAATTTCCTAATTTTTAAAAATTATAGAAAAAGTACCATTAAAAATATAAAAAACAAAAAAACCCCACTGAGTCTAGTTTCAGTCTCCATGTGAATACCTAAACGATCACAAAATAAAGACTGTAGGTATATCATTTTGAAGTGCACGTCACACTGGCAAGATCAGAAAAGCTTGTGAACCGGGAAGGAAATTGTTGTTCCAGTGGCGGAACCGCCACTGGTGAGTTTTATTCTTTTGGCAGCAGAGATTCTGGGGATTCTTACTAGGAAAACCTGCAGTCCTTTAATCACACGTCGTAAGAGTGTTTTGTGACGCTTTGCAGAGAGCCTTTCTTGCAAGATTTTCTCCTGTTGCTTTCCTTCCTGAGCACCACACGTCCAGGACAGCTGTTGTTTCCTGGTGATGCCAAGAACCCCCTGAATGCCACTGGGCTTCCGACGTGAAGACTGGTGGCAAAACGTCAAATGTGAATGTCCCATTCTAAATGGGGACTCCCACGATCATGTTGTTTTTGGGAGAGCAGCTCTCGGGCTCCATGGATATCACTTGAACAGAGTAGCCGTGCTCTTCGGCAGCCCGAGCCCGATCCAGGTCGACCAGGCACATGCACTGCTTTCCTGGAAGACAGCCAAGCAGCAGCGTGAGACGCCCTTCTGCTAGCAGGGCCATGTCAGCTTACCTGAGGGAATCTACACAGTGACAAAATCCACACAGCCTGTGGAGAATGCTGTTTACACCCAAGTCCCGTTTACTCTCTTTCCGTTTAAGTCTTGATCAGCGTGGAGAAAAGATAGTTTACAAATACAGACATTTAAAAGATTTGTGTCTACTGATAATTTAGAGAATATTAACCTTCTCAAAGTTAGACACAAATCTCAAATTAGAACTGCAGATTCTATTTCCTACTTGGTTAAAAATCCATTTAAAGATCTTTCCTCTGCCTTCCCTACAAAACTACATTATCCGTAATATTGTGGGAGAAAAATCTATCTTTAAGAACATCTAAAGGAACATGTGGACAAGGGATCATCTGAGAGACATATTACTTTTTCTACCTGGAGTTTTTTAGGACTATGAAGAAATGAGAAATGGAGAATATTTGAGAAAATTCTCAATTGTGTGTTGATTACTTCAGGTGGATCTGTATCTGTCTCACTCTGTTGCCTGGGCTAGAGTGCTGTGGCGTCAGCTTAGCTCACAGCAACCTCCAACTCCTGGACTCAAGTGATCCTACTGCCTCAGCCTCCCAAGTAGCTGGAACTACAGGCATGCGCCACCCATCCCGGCTAATTTTTTTTCTATATTTTTAGTTGGCCAATTAATTTCTTTCTATTTTTAGTAGAGGCGGGGTCTCGCTCTTGCTTAGGCTGGTTTCGAACTCCTGAGCTTTATCCGCCCGCCTTGGCCTCCCAGAGTGCTAGGATGACAGGCGTGAGCCACTGTACCCAGCCCTGTAGTATACTCTTGATTTTCAGAGCTCCTGCACCCCTATAAGACAGTGGCATTCTCTTTCCTTTGCAATCTTTGGAAGATAGAAGAGGAAATCTGCCTGGCAAGCAAAGCAGTTAATTTGTTTTCCCTTGGCAAACACAAACCACAAAAGTAGCCAGGGACAAAATGATTTGATGCTGAATATATTCGAAGCTCTGGTTGACTTTCACACTTTTAATTGCCCCAAATGCAATCTATAAGTTTCTTCATCCTCTTGGAGAAAGGTCACTGACTATGCAGAACTTCATTCATTCCATTTTTCCTCAATAATTATGACAATGCCTTGACATTATTTTTAAGTAAGGTATTAGAATGACAGTGGAAACTGCTAAACTAAAACAGCTTCGGAAGTGGAGAAGGCAACTCAAGTAGAAAAGTTCTTCTGTGGAAAACAATCCTCACCGAAGAAAACAGTGGAAAGTGAAATAAATCTGGAGGTAAGAATTGGCAATTAGAGACTCCAGATGTCTATTTTGTACATTTTCCTTAAAAGGACCCACACCATAAAGGATGGACCGTGGCAGAAGAGACATAAAAGGGGACGTCAAGAGCTCCATTTGGGTAAAATCCTCCCTCCTCATCAGCAGCCTGTGGCTGACATTCGTCTTTGTCCTTAAAGTATTGTTCTTCCTTTATACCTCTGTAAATGTTCCCCTATCTACTTCTCAGCTTAGAATGCAACAGCCTCCATCGGAATGGGGTGCTCTGCACTCCTTCCGTGTCCGCCCTGGGTTTGTGCTGTAGCTCATTTGCCCTTGGCTTTGATCCCAGTCAATTCTTCCTTGTCCATCATCTAGAATAATCTCGTGTTTTCACATGTTGAAGTATCTTCACAACTGAAACCCAGTTGTTGGTCGTTCACCTTTGCAGGCCTGATAAATTCCCTAAACATGCTCACAGAGCACAGCAAGGGCCGTGCAAAGCGGAGACGCAGACATCTGAGGGAGGCTGTGGCTTTGTTTGAGTGTGATTGCCGTCACCTACCCCAAACCCCAAGCTTCCTGCCAGCGATTTTGCCAAATGACCCTCTTCTTCAACTCTAGCAACTTCCCTTCCAGCCGTTCTCCTTGGTTTGATGACAGAAATTCACACCTACCGTGTACGCATCCGTCCACTATACTGATTATGCCTTCACTGAGTTGCTGCCGTTCAAATGTGTTCTCCAAAATGCATGTGCTGAAAACTTAACGCCTGATAGACAGCGTTGGGTGGTGGTCGGGCCAAGAGGTTGGCCTGAATGGATTAATGCTGTCATCACGGTAGTGGGTTCGTTATCAAGAGTGCAGTTTCCTTACGAAGGACGAGCTCAGCCTCCTCTTGTTCTCTCTCCGTGTGGTGCCTTTTGCCGCGTTATGACGCCGCGAGCAGGCCCTCACCAGGTCCAGCCGCCTAACCGCGCACTGCCAGCCTCGAGAAACACGAGCCAGACGAATTTCTCCTGTTCCTCATGTGTCGCCAAGCCTGTGCTATTCTGTCATGGCAGCACAGAGCAGACTAAAACATGGGTCCAGGGAGCGGAATTCTATCAGATGCACATTTGACTCACTCAGAGTCTGGGGATGGGAAAAGGAGGGAGGGAGAGAAAGAGAAGGAGAGGTTCCAGGCAGGAGATAGCCAGCTCTTCCCCTACGTTCACCACCCAGAGGGGGAGAGACAGAAGGAAACTGTCTGTTACCCGTCTCAGCTCTCACAAGCCTCTTCAAGCGTGTGCACCGTGCTACGCTGACTTCGGTTTCCGAGCTGAAAGGTAACTTTCTCACACAACGTGCTCCCCGGATGCAGGCCAGCTCCTCACCTGGTGCTCAGCCAGAGAAACAACAGTCTGTTTTTTATGTTGGAAAATGGGCTATGTTGGGATTTTGGAGAGAAAGTATTCATAGGATGGTGTCCAGTGTGGAGCTTTTCTGAATAATTTTTAAGATGAGTTCGGACACTGCACATGTATCTTCAACCCTGGCTGTGGAACTGCGCTTCCGGTGTGGTCGCTCCCGGGCGCTGGGAAGCAGGGTTACCAGAGTGGGCGAGAGCTCCCGTACAGCGTCAAATAATTCGGATTCATCTCGGGGATCCGTCGTCTGCCAGATGGAGGACCCCGGCAAGCTTCTGTCCCAGTTCTGTCATCATTAAAATGTAAACAATAGCACTTACCCGTATTTTGTCAGAATTTACTGAGATGACAGGTGAGGGCAGTTAGCTCAGGGCTTAAAGGCGTAACTGTTAGATGCTATTATTCTTCTAAATGCAATTTCTTTTTCTAAAGAGAAGTCTTCAATAAGTCAATTACTTAATAGACTTGAATTGTTTCTGTGGGTCTTCCAATTCAGGTAGCGTTTAATATTTCAAATGTTCGATAAATTGGTCTGTGATGAATAATATATGAGTATACTTTTTTCCTGAGAAAAAAATCATTATCATCCTTGTTCATACACATTTTAATGCATAGATTTTGGCACGTGTAGTTGACTTTTCTATCTTTATTATTTTCTTTTGTGGCTTTTGGTAGATCTTGCAGTTTGTCCATAACAGTAGGAAAAGATTTATGAATAACGTAGGAATCCTACTCAAAGTACAAACATTGAAAATGTATTTAAAAGTATTAGAGTCAACCAAAATGGGATAAAATATTACTATACTCACAAAGCTCTTTTTAATATGGATCAAGTTTTCTGGGAAGAACAAACTTCAGTTTCTTGTTGATTAATGGACTTTTTTTTTTTTTTTTGAGACAGAGTCTCGCTTTGTTGCCCAGGCTAGAGTGAGTGCCGTGGCGTCAGCCTAGCTCACAGCAACCTCAAACTCCTGGGCTCAAGCGATCCTCCTGCCTCAGCCTCCCAAGTAGCTGGGACTACAGGCATGCACCACCATGCCCGGCTAATTTTTTCTATATATATTAGTTGGCCAATTAATTTGTTTCTATTTATAGTAGAGACGGGGTCTCGCTGTTGCTCAGGCTGGTTTCGAACTCCTGACCTTGAGCAATCCGCCCGCCTCGGCCTCCCAGAATGCTAGGATTACAGGCGTGAGCCACCGCGCCCGGCCAGATTAATGGACTTCTTGTCGACAAGTCGCCCAGACAGACCTGATCCACCCTTCCCAGCGTGCCGCACACAAGCCGCTCGGCAGCTGCCCCGCGCGAACACATACCTATGAGCCTCTGTTGGGGCGGAAGCTGCACAGCTGTCTGATCCGCGAATCTGCACAGGATCATGTGTTCCTGAAAGAGAAAGCAAGAGCAAGTGGGCTCATTTTCATCTTCTCCTTCAAAGTCGTAAAAACGACAACAAAAAACAATCTCATTTTTCTGGAGTCCAACACTGATCAAACAGTGTGCTGCACAAATAGCACTTCTGGAAGAAGCAAACTTTCAGAAGATGGCACTCAGCAATTTCTTCCTCCAAGTTCTTAGCAGCAGATGCACAGAAATCCTCAGGGCCATTCTGCCCAGTTGCTTTTAGCTAGAATATGAAAACAGGGTTGTATTTTGCTATTGTAATGTGTTAAAAGACTTAAAGTTCATTTATATTTTTCCTTTATGAAATTTATCTGAACCTCTTGGAAAGCGGCTCCAAGAAGACATGCGCAGTGGATTTTCATCCTGCCAGAGGAAAATGAAGCAATGCAGGTCACTATTGGTGGCTTCTGTGGTTCTCGGGATACCCAGCAGGGTGCTGGCTGGTCCTGGACAATGTCCTGACTTTTCCTGTCCCTCAGTCCCTTTAGAGGAGAGAAACCTGGACCTCTCACTCTTCCCTGGCTCCCAAAGGTGGCATGAGGTGAGCCCCTTTCTGCTGTAAGACAAACTGTAAAGAGGACCTAAGGGAATGGCAGGGGGATTATTACTTCTACTTAACAATTTTAGAAAACATTGAATTAATGACAAAAAAAAAAAAAGAAGGCTTTAAAGGACACAGCTGATGAGTTTACACAGCACTCTTAAATTTGCAAATAGCCAAGGTGAATGATTAGGCAGAGTGGAAAGGAATGCAGTGCTCCTGGTTCAACTGTCTATTCAGAATAGCTGCAGTTTCCAAGTGTGTGTCTGATCTCACCTGTCAGCTTAGCAAACAGGTTAAACTCAGATTCATGTTCAGTGCCCTGAGCACTGTGTACATTAAATCTGAAGCCTCCATTTCTTAACAAGGCAAGTGAAATGATTGTGACAATGTTGGTTTTTAAAAAGGATGTCTTTTTTTTTTTTTTTGAGATAGAATTTCGCTCGGTCACCCTGGGTAGAGTGCAGTGATGTCATCATACCTCACAGCAATCTCAAACTTCTGGGCTCAAGTGATCCTCCTGCCTCAGCCTCTTGAGTAGCTGGGACTACAGATGAAAGCCACCATGCCTGGCTAATTTTTTTCTATTTTTGGTATATACGGGAGTGGGGTGGGGGATGGGAGGGTTGTTCTTGCTGGTCTCCAACTCCTGACCTCAAGTGATCCTCCCACCTAGGCCTCCCAGAGTGCTGGGATTACAGATATGAGCCACTGTGCCTGGCCAAAAAAGGCTATCTTTGTCTTAACTTTTATGCATTTTTAAAAAAAAAAAAACATTTTAATGCTGACAATAAAATTTAATGGCAATAGGTGGGAAATAAAATGGTTTGAATGAATAACTTTAATTAAGCCCCCACAAATTAACTGGCATCAACAAAGGCACAGAAGAATAATTTAGAATTATATAATTTGAAGAAAAGGCAAGAAAAGCATGCCCCTGTCCTCATGGTGTTTGTAGATTAAGATTCATTTTATATAAATGTAATGTCAAGGCAATTACAACCTCAGGTAAGGTTCAAGTCTCTTATGTTGATAAGGCTTACCATGTTTTATTGGCATTATTTGTGTGCATGTTCTCTTTAGCCAAAGGTAAGTTCTGACAGGGCCAGGCACAGAGCAGGTGCTCAACCAAGGTTGCTGGCTCAGGTGAACTGTGAAGAAAAACACTTCCAAAGTGACTCTCAAGATATTTGGACACTAGGTCCTGAGACCTTTAAAAACCAAGCAGCTTTTGGGGGTGTTGGAGAAAGAAGAGGTAAAGATTACAAACTGGGGTACTGGGAAGTTTCTTCTCTCTGGAAGAGTCTGTGTGCCCAGACTCTAGAAATTTTACATATTTTCCCAACCAATGAGACTGTGGGCACCCTGTCTCCTCAACACTCTTGGTTTGGTTCATACAGCCTCTCACCATTTGCTTTACGGAGCATCACTCAAGAAGGGATTAAACACAGAGGTCTAGCTTTGGGTTTCATTCCCCCTAGTTCATTTTCTACTTTATTGACATGGCCTTCTGAAAGACGAAGTGTTTCAAATCTTATGCAAATAGTTTCTGGGGTCTTCATGTCCCCCCCCCCAAATTGCATAATTCCCTAGGACATGAAGACTTTTAATCTAGTAGGCGAATGGCAGCAACGTTCTGGATGAAAAAGCATGAACGCTCAAGTCCCTTCCCTCTCCACAGGGGTCTGCACACCACGCACGTGGCAGGAAGGGGAGGGAGGGAGATGTGGGTGGCAGGCGGGGTGGGGGACAGAGTGGGAGGTGGACAGGTCAGAGTCATAAAGTTATTATATAAAGAAGAGGCAAAGGAGACAGCTGCCGACGTGATGGAAATGAACGTTTTTAGGTCACTGCACCTCACTATGTCACTGTTTGATGAAAGTAAAATTCCTAAAATGTAGGGGCTGGCATATAAAATGAGACTATGTATTTTTAGTCAGTCTGTGCAAAAATTACAATTAACAAAACTAAGAATCCAAACTAATTTAACAACTTCCAATGGAATGCTTTGTTTTTTTCCGCCAATATTATTATTTCTTACATTGTTTTATGGCATGCTATTGACCAATTAATTGGCTAGTGGTGATAATCAGGAAGTTGGAGACTGTTTTGCTCACACTGTTGACTCAGGACTATGTGATGTTCTGACTACCGCTGGGAGACAGTTCTCCACGGTCTGTTCTGCTTCCTCGTGTCTCATAAGCAGAGGCGCTGGCTGCCTTGAGCGAGATGGGGGCTGGAAAACTCTGGCCTATAGGCCGAATCCAGCCTCTGACCTCTCCTCCTGTGGCTTGCAAGTTAAGAGAGGTTTTGTTTCTAAAAGGTTGTGAACCAACAACAATGAGGGCGATTTGTGCTTTGTGTGTGGGCAGCAGAGCCTGAAATATCTGCTATCTGACCTTTTACAGAAATATTTCCTCTGCTCCAGATTATCTGTTCAAGCATGTTTATGGAATGAGCAGCCTTGGAAGATGCAGACAATGTCTCCCTCTGGCACAAAGGGCAGGTGTCACCCGAGGGAAGTGGGCCTCAGGGAGTCACAGTGGAAGTGACAGTACTCTGTCACCCCTATCGCTGTGGGCAACAGACTCTTTTGCCTCTGACTTAGGAGTCTCATGTCTTTGCCAGCATCCACTGTGGCAGGCTACCTTCCAGTTTGCTAGCAGAGTAAAGATCTCAAACCCTTCACAAATCTTGTCAACTACTTAAAGAGTTAATCTGGATTGGGAAAGAAAAAGAAAAAAAAAGCCATATGAGATGTTCATGAGTAATTCAAACGTAACTATAGATTATCTACTATTCCATTTGGAATTGGACAGGGAAGACCACAAAGACAGGATTCAAGAGTGTATTAAGACATCTAGATCTTTTCGAGTTTACCTTGTATGATAAAGTTTTCTTGAACTGTTCGCTGAAATAGAAAAAAAAGGGATTAGTTATCATTCTAAATACCAAATATTAAGAGTAAAATAATCTTGAAGAAACTAAATTATAAATAAACATATATATTGTATTTGAAGAATATAAAGTGATATCCTGAAGTAAAACCTATGCTAGTTTGAAATGTCTTTATAAAAATATTTAAAAAAGCATGTCATTCCTATGTTATTAATTTTAAGGGTTTTCTTTCACAGATTGTTTACTCTGTTAGAGAAGCACAAGCAGATGTTTTTTCTTTCCCTCCTAGGAGCACACAGGTCAGGTGTTGTAACACGTGGGTTTTATTACTATTCAGGTGTGGTTAGGCCGACAGCTCAGGAGAGGATCGCCACCGAAAAAATACCTTGTCACTCCCAGTCCCCACAAGGGGCATGGCATGCCACACAGGGCCACATGGGGAAGCACCAGCCCAGTGTCAGGCAGGAGGCAGACGGGCTTGGGTAAAATGTGGGCAAGAGCCTTTACTGTGGTTTCCAGGGGAGGGAACAGGCAGGGTAAGCAGGTTTAGAACTGGCTAGTTCAGATAATTCCAGCAGGGCTCTAGGGCACAGAAATGTCCTTTGTAGTCTGGCATCTGGCCCTGGGGTACTGGCAGGGGGACAGTGGCCTGGAAGTGTAAGAGCTCAATGAAGGAGGTAGCTGGGGGGTAAGACTCTGGATCAGTAGGTTTGCAGATGAAAGGCACGCTGGCTCAAAAGTCCTTTACTATCTCTAGGAATTGGCTGGCCCTGGGAAGAGCAGTCTATCCAAGCACCAGAAAATAAAAAGGTTTGATTAATACATCAAGAAACTACTGCTGTCACAGCTATTAAAGGCAAACATACATTCCATAAACAATGTCTTCATTAATGCTGTAGCCTTTGCTCTTGTCATTCAAGAATATGCACCTATACATTTGATGCTAAATTTATCAGAGCCAATTTCTTTGAAATGATTACTTGTTTCTATATATTATAGAAAGAGTATGATATTTATAAATTTTCAACTCTATCTTTAGTGATTAAGATCGGTCTTCTACACAAGATATCAGTTCCAAGGATAAGGGAAGAAAATGTGAGTAAATCTATAGGGTGTGAAAAAGTTGACACTAAGCTGAAACTTTCTAATAGGTTAAGTTAGACTATAGGCTGAACAAGGCCAACTGGCATTCTTATGAATCTTTACAGTGCTAGACCTACAAATTCCTTGATGAGTTGTAAAAATATACATTTTATCAGTACAGACATAGAGTAAAATGAAATTTCTACTGCTAAATAAGTCTCAAGTTTTATTTTATTTTTTGTTTTTCAATAGTTCCTTTGTTTTTTTCCAACTTATTGCAAATTGTGGTAAAGAACAAAACAATGAAAGATAATTAAGACTATTACTTGTATTTTGTTACTTATATAGAAGTCTTTAATATAATTTCTAATGGAAATTTTCTAAGGTTTTTTAAAAAAGTAATGACGCAACTGATCAAGAAGTCTTTTTGGCATACTATAGGATAAATTTTCTAAAACTAACGTGTTTCATCCATCCCATTATTAAAATGATCATCACGAGTCTCGATAACCACGAGTCAGAGAGTGAGCACGTCATACGCACAAAAACCCTTAGGTAGTTACTATCATAACCCTCATTTGGCAGATGAGAAACACAGGCAAAGAAGAATTCAAGTCACTTCCTGAGGCGCAACAACTCATACACCCATGCGGAGGGTACACTGGCGTGCAGGCAGAATATTCCAGGCCCCAGCCGCCCAGCCGCTACACTCTGTGCCTCCCGTGGGTGATGGTTTTAATGTCGTTTAAAAGCACACAGAGAAGTGCTGACCTGACACACCTCTAGCCGGCCGATTTCTAGAAAGACTGGTTTCTAAATTTCAGTAGGAGCTGGATTCAGGAGAAAACCCAGGGTCAGACAGAAAGGAGACCCTCTCTTCCTTATGCGATTGATAAACAATATTTGCCATGGTGGAAATGACTTAAAAATGAAATCTAATTGCAACTTTACGCAAAACAAGTCTCACATGCTGCTTTCTCCCCGTATTGGTATCTTAGGCAGAATACTGAATTTCACCTTTTTGGAAAACTGAATTTGGAGGTGTTCTGGATGAAGCCGTAACAGCAAGGGCACGTGACGAAGGAGGCCCGCATCCTGACGCAGTGCTCGATCACCATGTCCGTGGCCACCCCGCAGGCGTGCAGAGCCACCTGGAAAAGAATGCCGGACTCAGCACTCGGCTCTTTCTTAACTAGCAGTGCAACGCCGGTGCCTTTTAAACACTTACCAAAGGACTGCTTAGCTACTCCTTTGGTAATGAATCAAGCCAAGTTGAAAGGTTACAAATGGAATATTGCAAATGAAGTGTAAGATTCATCCAATGGAAAATCTGACGCAATTTTAACATGGAAAATTTAATATACATACATTTCCAAACTAGTGCTTTTGGTGATTATGAATTTAGTTCAGTTGTGGCATGTGCCAAGAACAGTAGATTTGAAATGAGAATTTCTAGTCTAGAACTGTGTTTGGCTGTGTGGCCCTGGGCCTCAGGCTCCTCAACTATAACCACGGTTAACAATACTGACATAGCACAATGTTGCAAAAGTTAAATAAAAGTATATCTGAACACACTTTTTCGACTGCTATATGAATATAATCTTAATTAGCCTTATATTTTAAAAACTGATTAAAAATTGTATTTATGTATTCATAGTACTTTTCAAGGTATTTTTGTATAATGACAATACTTAACATTCAATGATCAATTACATGCATTACTTGCAATGAGTTTATCTAAAATGGAAAGAATGAAGTTATGAATTTCTGAGTGGGGCTTCAATAATTCATGAAAATAAAAAATAACTCTAAAAATATGATTTTAGGCTGGGCGTGGTGGCTCACACCTGTCATCCTAGCACTCTGGAAGGCCAAGGCAGGTGGATGGTTTGAGCTCAGGAGTTGGAGACCAGCCTGAGCAAGAGCAAGACCCTGTCTCTACTAAAAAAAAATAGAAATTAGCTGGACAACTAAAAAATATATATAAAAAATTAGCCGGGTATGGCAACGCATGCCTGTAGTCCCAGCTACTCAAGAGGCTGAAGCAGGAGGATCGCTTGAAACCAGGAGTATGAGGTTGCTGTGAGCTAGGCTGATGCCACGGCACTCTAGCCCGGGCAGCAGAGTAAGACTCCATCTAAAAAAAAAAAAAAAAAGAGGCCGGGCGGGTGGCTCACACTTGTAATCCTAGCACTCTGGGAGGCCGAGGCAGGCAGATTGCTCGAGGTCAGGAGTTCAAAACCAGCCTGAGTAACAGCGAGACCTTGTCTCTACTAAAAATAGAAAGAAATTAATTGGCCAACTAATATATATAGAAAAATTAGCCGGGCATGGTGGCACATGCCTGTAGTCCCAGCTACTCGGGAGGCTGAGGCAGGAGGGAGTCGCTGCGCCCAGGGTGGGGGGGAAAACTTTTGAGGTGGTTTCTGTGAGCTAGGCTGAGCACCACGGCACTCACTCTAGCCTGGGCAATAAAGAGAGACTCTGTCTCAAAAAAAAAAAAAAAATGTTTTTTTCAGGTTGTTGGCAGAAGGTCCCAATGTTTTTTGGGTTTTTTTAAGTGTATTATGGGGGTACAAGTGTTAATTAAGGTATATATTGCCACATGTCCCCCTCCCCCCATGTAAGCTTAGCATGACCATCCCCCAAATGTTGCACATCTTACTCATTGTGGTTGTATATACCCATCCCCCTCCTCCCCCCCCCCGACACCTGATAAATGTTACTCCTATATGTCCCACTTAGTGTTGATCGTTAATACCAATTTGCTGGTGAGTACATGTAGTGCTTGTTTTTCCATTCTTGAGATACTTCACTTAGTAGAATGGGTTCCAGCTCTATCCAGGAATATACAAGAGGTGCTAGATCACCATTGTTTCTTAAAGCTGAGTAGTACTCCATGGTATACATATACCACATTTTATTAATCCACTCATGAATTGATGGGCACTTGGGTTGTTTCCATAGCTTTGCAATTCTGAATTGTGCTGCTATAAACATTCGAGTGCAGGTGTCTTTTTCATAAAGTGACTTTTGATCTTTTGGGTAGATGCCCAGTAGTGGGAAAAAAAATGATTTTTAAAACATTTGAAACACACATCTTTAAATATATCTATACTTATTAAAAACCTAAAGCAACAATTATAAAAAGCATTAGGCTAAAGAAAGCAAAATAAAACTCTAAGAAGGAAAATCAGATGTGAGGATCCTAAAAGATGAAAAACCTATATTACATTTTGGCAGAAAGATTCCCATAACTCCGTTTCATTCTGGACAGAGAGAAATTGTATTGGATTAGAGTTTTTCCTTCTAAGCACAGACAGAGCTCTCCAACCTCAGGGTAGGGAGGAGCTTTCGAGATGAAGAGGGGATTTCCTGGAAATTTCTGGATGTAAAGTCTTACAAGCCAGACTCCCTTCTTGAATGAGAAAGTTAAAAACAACACTATGCTGGGAAGAGGGAAGCGCGACCTCTGCCCTCACCCTCCTCCTGAGCCCTCTCCTCCTGGAGGCTCTCTCTGGCCCCCTTCCTCCTGAGCCCCCTCCTCCTGAGCCCCCTCCTCCTGGCCCTCTCCTCCTGAGCCCCCTCCTCCTGAGCCCTCTCCTCCTGAGCCCCCTCCTCCTGGCCCTCTGCCTCTAGCAGCCCCCTCCTCCTGAGGGCCTCCTCCTCCTAGCCTCCTCCTGGCCTCCTCCTGAGCTCCTCCTTCCTGAGGCCTCCTCCTGGCCCTCTCCTCCTGAGCCCCCTCCTCCTGAGGGGCCCTCCTCCTGAGCCCTTCCTCCTGAGCCCTCTCCTCCTGAGGCCGCCCCTGATCTCCTGAGAGGCCCCTCTCCTGAGCCCTCCTCCTCCTGAGCCCCTCCTCCCTCCTCTGAGCCCCCTCCTCCTGAGCCCCCTCCTCCTGAGCCCCTCCTCCTGAGCCCCCTCCTCCGAGCCCCTCCTCCTGAGCCCCTCCTCCTGAGGCCCCTCCTCCTGAGCCCCTCCTCCTGAGCCTCTCCTCCTGAGCCCCTCCTCCTGGCCCCTCCTCCTGAGCCCCCTCCTCCTGAGGCCCCCTCCTCCTGAGCCCTCTCCTCCTGAGGCCCCTCCTCTGAGCCCCCTCCTCTGAGGCCCTCCTCCTGGCCCTCTCCTCTGAGCCCTCTCCTCCTGAGCCCTCTCCTCCTGAGCCCTCTCCTGAGCCCCTCCTCTGAGCCCCTCCTCCTGAGCCCTTCTCCTGAGCCCCTCCTCCTGGAGGCCCTCTCCTTTCTGACTCTCTCTCCCTGAGCCCCTCTCCTACCTTCTGCTGAGCCTCTCCTCCTGGCCCCACGTGGCTCGCGCAGCCCAGACCTCCGCCCACCGTCAGCCCGCCTGCTGCGTTGTCTCCCAGGGCACAGCCTACAAGGCAGCCACCCGGTCAAGGCAGCGACAACTCCAGGGAAAGGAGAAGTAAAGAACATTGATTTCTCACCTGCCCCTTTCATTTAGTCAGCTTTTCAGGGTAAAAATCAGACTAATTCTTAATTCCATGAGTAGCTGCAGAAAAATCTCATAACGAAAATGACAGATGCATTTTCCCCTGGAGGAGAAGAAACGAGAACTGACGCTGAGCATCCCTTCCGTGCTGGGCATCGGCAGCAGAGCTGCGCTCACAGCAGTGAAAGATTTCATTTTCTCCACTGTAGAAATGAGGAAGCTAAGGCATGGGGAAATCAAGAGCTTGCCGGCAACAAGCAGCTATTGAGGAGCAGGGCCTGGCCCCCGAACCCTCATTTCCTGCACTAGTCACATCAGGCTGCTTCTCTGCAAAACCCTCTGGAGGCTCCGAATAGAGAAAAGTTTAGCGAATCTACGTTTCTAAGGCTCTCTCTACTTAATTCCACATTCCTTTTACTACATGCAAAAGATTATGTTTATTTCCCTCATTTAAACAAAATAACTAAACCCGAAGAACTATTCACACAATAGTTTATAGATAATGTAATAACTGTCTACTAGTAATAGATTTTAGGTCTAAAGGTTTCACTGCATGACATACTTATAGTTTCCATTGTCATCAATCGCAAGTCAAAAATAACTGGCAAATAATGAAGAGATATATAGGTCCATGTTACCATTTGATATTGAGATTTAGCATACAATTAAGGCAGTATTTCAAGCCAGGGGAGAAAAGATGGACTTTTTAATACGTGTTGGGTTAACCTGGAGCCACATAAAAATAAAAATTAGATCTTTTTCTCTCACTGCACATAAGAAATACATTTCAAATGGACTAGAGATTTAAAAAGAGATAAGTAAGACATGAGTGAATTCCTCCACCACCAAAGGGAGTGTGGGAAATAATTTTTAACCATAGCTGAAAACTCCATATACAATAAGGGGTAAAGTTAATAAATTTGATAAAATAAAAATTTTTCAAAAAACATTTGAAGGGTAAAAAAACCAAATCTATAAGTAAAAAGACAATGATAAAGTAGGAAAAAATTTACAACTTATAGCATAAACAAGGGATTTATATCCCTAATATACAACAAGCTTCTAAAAACAAAGAAAAAGCCCAATAATATGATGGTGATATGAGCAAGAGATATGAACAAACAGTTTACAAACAAAAACATGCAAATAGTCTTTAAATAAAATTTGGTCAATATTGCTCAAAAATAAGAGAAATAAATACTTAAATTATATTAAGATACTATTAATAACCCATTACAGTGGCAAAATCCTAAAATTCGATAGCAGTCTATTGGTCAGGCTGCAGGGAAACAGATATTATCATGTATTGCTAATGGGAATACAAAAATGTCACAGCCCTACTGAGGGGAAGTTTAACGATATCTAGCAAAATTACATATGCAATACGCAATCTCACTTCCAAAAATCTATCCAAGAGATACATTAGCAAAAATGTAAAAGTATCTATCCAGTAAGGCAATATTTGAAATAACAACAAAATGGAAATAACCCAATTTTCCACTGACAGAGGGCTGATGGAGCTCTGGAAAAGAATGAAGAATCTCTCCATGCCTGGCCAGGAGATACTGCTAAATGAGAAGGCATGTTAAAAAATTCTCAAACTATTTTCAGTAATCACCATTGGTGGTTGTGTTATGTGTGTCTACTACCTAGCATGTGTATATTGTAGGCTAAAACAAAAACTATGCTGGTGCCATTAAGAAATGGA